CTGCGACACGTCGGCAGCACGAAGGCCAGAGAGCAGCCCGCGCCGTCCCCAGCATGGTCATCACCACTTCCCGGAAACGGCCTCCTGGCTCCACCCACCCCACCAGGCGCTCGGTCCCTGACCGCCGACACTGCAGGGCCTAGGCCCTTGCCCTGGTCCTCTCTGTACTCATGGCCTGATGTCACCGAGGCCCACAGCACTAAGTGGTCCCTTTGCAGACGACGCCCAGCTTTAGCTGCCAGCCGAGACCTGTCTCCCAAGCAGCAGGCTATGTCCAAACGCCCACTCAACACCTTCACCTGAACTATCTGTTGACATCTCAGGCTCACACCCGAACTACACAGGGTTCCTCTGTAACCTGCAGCGTCCCCTGTCCCAGCCGACACAGCTTCATTCACTCAGTTGCTCAGAATAGACCTGGGGTTCACCCTGGCTCCTTATCATACCAACATCCAAGCTGCTCAGAACTCCTACTGGTCAGACTAGTCAGAGTGGACAGTGGTGTAAGGGCACGAGGAGTATCACTGGGAGGCAGCGCTTCATGGCCTCACATTTCTGCACTGGACAGCACGGTGCTATCTTTTCAAGGCTGTTTATATAGAAAACCACGTTGGAAGACAGAAATCGTGTCTGCTACAGCCAAGGGCAGGTTTGCTTAACGTCCAGTGAGATGTCTCCTGCAGAGGAAAAGCAGGTTTGCTTGTCGTCCGTCATAAAGGGTTTGGATTCCCTGAGCTCAAGGCTCCTCAGCTGTGCCGGACCCACCGCGGGCACGGGACGCCCCTGACGATTCTGCATCACTCCCGTGGGACTTAGGACACAGGCGGGACTGATGCGAACGTGAAGCTCACACTTCTTGCCAAGCTGTGATGAAGTCCTGTGTCTGCAACTCAGGAGTCTCGTGTCTTATTCCAGGATCCATGAAACGGTGCCAGGCTAAGGCTGCACCTCAGCAAAATCCCAGACCCTTCCACAGTTCTCGACGGTGCGACGTTTGCAACACGGCGCGGATTACAACTAGATACGTAGGAAGCCCACACTTTTGAAGGGCATTGCATTTCAGACGCTCACCTATGGATAAGAAGGCTACTCAGTGCTCTCAAAGATCGTTTCTTCAGGACGAGGCAAGGCACGTGACAAAAAAGGACACCTCAGAGCCAAGAACGAGACTGGAAGCTCAGCCAGAGAACAGAAACGGCCCCGTCAGGGGACGCTATTCTCTCCCAAGTAGGGGTCTGACGCTAGCTGTCCAGCGAACTCCAGACTCG